TATATTTTTCATGAAAACAAAACATATAAATAGCTGATTTAGGAGCTAAAATTAAAAGCCTAGAATGCAATCTCCTTGTTCCTTCACTATTAATCAGAATTTAAAATGAGAGGCACAGGTGGCAATGAATTCTGAAAATGAAGGTGACCTTGAAAATGAGCTGATTTTTTTCAAAATAAAAATAATAAATGCCTCAAGAAGATAACTGTCTCACATTCTTTGAGACAGTACACCCAACAATTTGCGATCCCATCTGCCATTCAAAATGCGGCAGAACTCTCTCACCAGCAGAGATGGCCTCATAGAAGAGCAGTGTGGGATAAGCACAATTGAAGGGCCAGAGAGTGTATCACCAGTCAGAGCGAAGCCCTGAGCAAACCTACCAACAAGAGATTCACCTCTCCTACACCTGTAACCTCTTCAGAAATCAAGGCAGTTGTATAAAATACACCAGGTAGGAAGAATTTGTTCATGAGTAAAATTTGGAAGCATTCCTAAGGATGAACTCAGTTGGGCAGTGCTATTTCTTTTTCTCCTTAACTACAAACAAATTCATACATGGGAGATAGAAAGTGAACTTGTAAGACTTAAGGAAGACTCTAAAACGTGGACACTAGTCCTTGCTTTAAGAAACATTCACTGTACTCATTACCTTGCTCATATAACTGTAACCCCTCTGTACAGTATTTCCACAATAAAAAAACTTATTTAAAAAAAGAGAAACATTCACTGAGCACCTATAATGGGCCTAGTGGTATGCAATGTTACACAATGTTTGGCCTTGTTTCACTGTCTGCTGGAGGAGATAAGGCTATAAACACATAGTTACAGCATTGTGTCATATATGCTAGCTATATCAGGCCTTTACAAAGAGCTAGAAGAGAGACTCTTGTAGAAAGGAAGGAAGGAAAGCAGGAAGGAAGGGATGAAGGAAGGAAGAAAGGAAGGAAGAAAGGACCAAAGAAAGAGAGAAAAAAAAGAGGGGCTGGGAAGGTGGCTCAGTGGTAGAGCGCTTGCCTTGCATGCTCGAGGCCCTGGGTTCGATTCCTCAGCACCACATAAGCAAAAAGAAAAAAGCCGGAGGTGGCGCTGTGGCTCAAATGGTAGAGAGCTAGCCTTGAGCTGAAGAGCTGAGGGACAGTGTCCAGGCCCAGAGTTCAGGTCCCACTGCTGGACCCCCCCAAAAAAAAGAAACATAGATAAAGGAAGGAAGGAAGGAAGAGAAAGAGAGAGAAAAGGAGAGAAAGAAAGAAAGAAGTGCTAACAAAGATGTGGGGTAGGTCACTAAGTTGACCATGTGAAGGAGCCCCACCCCAGTAGTAACAAAGAGAAAGCCACGAAAGTATAAAATGCATAAGAAAGACAATGGGAAACCACAGAAGGCAATGGAGGAATTAAGGTTGCAACTCTGGAAGCTCCTTAGAGGGATTAGGAAGTTGTTGATGGGAGAATGGAAGGTCTGCAGGCAGGAACCAGAGCCCAGGGCTCCTGTAGGCATTCAGACCAGATGTGAGGAGAGAGAAACCAAGGAAGAAAGGAGTCTGAGGTTTGGAGCCATGTGTAGATTACGTTTAGTTGTTGGCGAGGTAGAAGTGGCAATATTTTGCAGGTGTCCAGGGTTCAGGGGTTTTGAAGGAGAGAAAAGGTCAATGATTTTCAGGCTAAGCTGGCTTCATAGATGTGTGATTTGTACATTCCACTCAGGAGAGCCCCATGCTAGGTTTAATGTCAGTAATAACAAACGGCTTCTACATTTTTGCCCTGTTAATTATAAAGCCAGGGTTGTTTCTAGGTTTTCTCTTGCAGCTAAGGGATGTATTAGGATGCCAAGAATTTAAATAGGACACAGAAAAACTCATATTTCTCTGTAATGGGTGGGTGGAGTTCAGTTGTGCATGAATTTCACACACCCATATATCATCAAAGCAGAGACATTCAATAGCCGGTAAGAGATTGGATGTCAATTCCAAATTTCAGCTGCAGGTTAGAGATACAAGTCCAGGGTATAGAGGGACAAAGACAGTTGGCTGAGTCTGTGGCTGATGGTGGCCATGTTAAGGGGAAATGGTAGAGATACCTTTGGTGCATCAGTATTCAGGATGCCAAAGAAGAACAAGAGAAATGGAAAAGGAGTCAAATGTTAGTGGGAAAATTTGGGAATTGTGTTCTGGGAGTCAAAAAGAAAGGAGTCAGTAGAAGGAAGGTGTGCTCATATGAAGCTAAGCCCACAACTAGTGGGAAAATGTCTACTGCACTCAGTAATTAGAAGGTCGGAGCAATTCAAGAACAATAGGGAGATAGTACTGCCCTACACTGGAGTGAAGGGAGGGGAGGAGTGAACAGAGACACAAAGTACCCACTGCCCTGGCAAGGGGCTGGGCTGTAAGTCAAAGGTGGAAGAGGACAGGAGGGAGCGCTTGTTTTATTTTTACTTAAGATGGAAGAATATTCAGTGACTATCCTTTGAAGCTAGGAAAACTGAAGGATAGGAAAGAATGAGGAAAGAGATGATTTATCAATCTGCATTGTACAAAAATGGACACATTGATTGGTATCCCATTTGTACAACTACTTACCGAAAATAAAAATTTGATTAGAAAAGGATGAAGAAGCCAGGCAGGTCTCTATGTTGAAGCATCGCCCTCAGGAGAATGAGGATGATGCGTTCTAGAAGTACGCATGGCCACAAAAAGCTGGGCGCCGGTGGCTCACGCCTGTAATCCCAGGTACTCAGGAGACTGAGATCTGAGGATCATGGTTCAAAGCCAGGCCGGGCAGAAAAGCCCATGAGACTCTGATAATAAACCACTAGAAAACTGGAAGTGGCACTATGGCTCAAGACGTAGAGCGCTGACCTTGAACTGAAGAGCACAGGACAGCGCCCAGGCCCAGAGTTCAAGCCCCACAACCGACAAACAACGGCCACAAAGGTGGGACCAGAGGCAGATGGAATGATCAGTGTATGTCATCACTTTATAAGTGACATTCACACTCTGCCCCCTAAATCAAGTTTTGATAATATTAAATTTGCTCTGGGAAAGTGGGGTGACAGCAGCCAAACTTTGTAAAGGGACAAGACTCTGACCAGGCACAGGTGTCCAGGGTGGTGGCGGGGATCACTCAGCTTCAAGGAAAGCAAAGGCCTACCTTAGGAAAGAGCTAAATGATGCTTGTAATTTGTGTGCATTGAAACATTGTAACAGGATGCATAGGTCCAGGTTATTACAAGTTAAACAGGGGGAAGGAGGCTTGCTTTTTACTACCTTTCTTTTCATCTCTATGGATCCTCTTCCACGGCAGATTAGACCTTCACCACAGCACTGTTTCTAAGCAGTTTGAGCTGAGCAGTCAGCACCCAGGATTCCAAACAAGTGCTGATCTGGTGAATAATTAATGTTTCCCACAGAACTAGCAAGTGTTTATAAATTCGAAGAGCAGCTAATTTGATGGTCTAATGATTAAACTACTCCGGGCCCTATTTCATGGCAGCAAAGTTAAATAACTGACCAATTAGCCTCTTAATTCCTCCTCCTCGAAATGACTGACAATCAGAATCTCCCGGCTGGACTAACAACGAACCATGTGTCTCCCAATCCAGGCACCTTCGTCCAGAGCAGGACTAAAGAAAGCTCTATGTGTCTCCCAATCCAGGCACTTTCGTCCAGAGCAGGACTAAAGAAAGCTCTGACTCCAGCCATGGCTAAAGGCAAGGGAATTGCGTTAATCCACAGAAAAGTTAGAGCGGGCTGACTTCTTGTTCAACCCCCAGGAAATGGGTGAGCTTCTATTTCTCCCCATTTAACCAACCAGGCCCACTGTCCTGCTAGGGATCTTTAGATCTTTAGAGATGTCCTTGCGAGAATTGTCCACATGGGGGGGGGGTAATTGGGTGTTGGGTGGTTTTGTGTGTGTGTGTGTTTGCCGATCCTGGGGCTTGAACTCCGGACTTTGGCTTCGTCCCTGAGCTCCTTTTTGCTCGAGGCTCCTGCCCTACCACGAGAGCCACAAGACCACTCACGGCTATTTCTGTGATTAATTGGGGGATAAGAATCTCACGGATTTTTCCCAGCTGGCTTCGAACCGCCATCCTCAGATCTCAATCTCCGGGGTCCTTAGGATTACTGGCGTGAGCCACCAGCGCCTGGCCACATGGTGTTTTGTAGAGATTATATAAAGATGTCTCTTGAAAGATCTCCAGCTTCCTGGCCGTGTCAACCCTTTCTACGGGAGATGGGACAGGTTCGCTCAAGAAATGTACTTTGAATAAAGCCATCGCACGGATTGAGGTTAAAAAGTATAGATGTTCAAAAATCACCAGGCCCGTGGGACGGGTCAGTCAGTGCCTGACCTGCTGGGGACTGGCAGGCCGGGCCGGGAATAAAGGCGTGCGCCCAGACCGCGCAGGGAACGGTACGACCTCCCTTCCAGGTGCCCACACCTCCCCGAGGCGCCCCACCCCAGCTCGGGGGGGGGGATTGGGGAGGGGAGGGACGTGGGTTTACTTTTTAAAAGAACAAAACCGAGCAGGTCGGCACTTTCTTCGGGGGAGGGGTGAACGCGCCTCCTCCAGCGCCAGATGGAGTTTGTAGCCTCGGGCACCTTTTCGTGACTCACTACTAAACGAATGTAAATGCACCAGTCCGCGGGAGGTCCCTGCCGACCAGCCCTCCCCCCCAGCCCCCACCCCGGGCCGGGCGCGGGGAACACCGACCCCCCCGGAGCCGCCCCGACGCCTCCCACCCCTGCGCGCTCCGGGCTCCGGACGCGCACGCCGGCGCGGACCCGCCGTCCCCACGCGGGGACGCGGACGCGCTGAGAGCCAGCCACCCCCGCCGACGCTGCTTTAAAACAAAAGAGGCACCCGAGGGGGTGGGTCCTGGCCTCCGCCCCCTCCGCGCGCCCAGCGGGGGCCTCCCCTGCCCGCCCCCTCGGCCCGAGCCCCGCGTGTGCGCATGAGCACAGGCGCCTCCCTCGGTTCCTCCCAAGGCTAAACTTTTCTAATTCCCTTCTTTGGGCTCGGGGGCTGCCAGGAGCCGCCGGGGCGCTCGGGCGCGGGGTGAGTGCGGACAGCACGGTCGCCGGGCGATCCCTCCCCTTCCCCGGCGCAGCCCCCCTTTCCGTGGGAGCAGCAGGACACGAAGGGCCCCCTCTGCTCTCTCTGAACATTTGCTCCCCCCCCCCGCCCTTCTCTACCTCTCCAGAAAGGAAGCCGGGAAGGGAAGGTCGGCCGCTCGGCAGACGTGCGCTCCCTCCTGGGCCGTGTCCCCTGCGCTGCGGGCGGGACTGGACATGGGGCTGCTCCCGGTGCTCGCCTTCAGCTGCTGGGGTAAGTCAGAGAGGGAGGGTGCGGCCCGGGGCGGGGGGGTCACCGGGGAAGAAAACCCCCAAGCCCGGTGCTCGGGCTTTGAGGGGAGCCTGGTGGAGGGGGAGGATCGGGAGAGGAACTGGTTGGAGATGACGCCCCTGGGTTCCATCGCCACCGCCCTCGGCTCGGTCGTGGCTGGGGACGCCGGGGACCCGCGTCCGCGGGGGGCTCTGCGCCCCGCGCTCCTGCGGCTCCCGGTTCTGCAGCACCCTCCGTCCCCCCTGGCCCGCAGGGGCTCTCGGGCGGCTGCGCTCGATCGCGGGCTGGCTGGGGAGCCTCCCCGAACAGTCCATTCATTTACTCAGGAAAAGCGCCCGAGCCCCGCGGGCTTCGCCCGGGAAGCTGACCGGGGCCATGTGGCTTTCATTAAGCACCGCGGTCTGCCTGGCCGTGGCACCGGGAACAGCCGGACCGAATAAGCTTCCCTGGAATGGCGAAGCGTGGAAGTCTCTCCGGAACCGCGGGGTCTACCCAACCCGCCATGCCCCTCGGGGACGAAGCGGCGTCCGCCCCCGGCGCCGCGCTCCCTCCTCCCGGGCCTCGCCGGGGTGGCCGGCGCGCGCACGCGGGCACCCTCTCACGCTCACCGCGGTCCACGTGCACACTCAGCGCCGGGAGGGCGAGCGCCGCCACGCGCACGCGGGGTCGCACGCGCGGCGGTGCGGAGCGCGGTGGCCCCGGCACGCAGGCGGAGGCGGCGGCGCCGCACCTCCACCTGGAGCGCCGGGGGCGGCTCCCCGGGCCCGACCGGAACGGCACCGGCGTCGGGTGTGTTTTCCCCGGAGCGATGCGCCCGGCCGGCCGCCGGGCAGCCCGGGATGACGGGTTGCGGGGGTTCCTTCCGCGCCCCTGCCTCTGCGCCCTCTCCTTCGCTAGTCTGGTCATTGTATCCTTTCTGGGTAATCTCCCCCCCCTTTTTTTCTTTTCTCCTGAATCCTCTCCGTCCCCGCCTCCTGCTTGTTCCTTTCCACCTCGTTCCTCTGCCCCCAACCTTGTCCCTTATTCCTCCTGTAGCCTTGTGCGGAGCCAGAGTGCGCGCCCAGGAACCCGACTTCAGCTACGGCTGTGCGGAAGGCAGCTGCTACCCTGCCACGGGCGACCTTCTCATTGGCCGAGCCCAGAAGCTCTCCGTGACCTCGACGTGCGGACTGCACAAGCCCGAGCCCTACTGTATCGTCAGCCACCTGCAGGTGAGGGCTGGTGCCCCGGTGCCCGCGCCGCCACCGCCACCGCCTCCTCCTTTTCCTCCTCCTCCTTTCTAGAGCTAAGGGGCAGGCAGGCCCTGGAGACTCCCAGCATCCTGCCAGCAATCCGGTCGGAAGCGCAGCCAGGCGGGGAGTCCTGGGGTTCGGCTGGTAGCTCACTGACCCCGCGCCCCCATCTCCGTTTGCACAGTTGCATCCGCCAAACACTTCCTGCCCTTCTCCAGCCACAGCACTATCAGTGTGGAAATGCAGGGCTGCAGACAGACAGCCCTGGCCCCCTGCTCTGTGCCCTGCCCCAGCCCAGGGACTCTAAAAAGACTTGGGTTGTGGAGTCATTGTTAAAAAACACACACACGTTCAAGATGGTGTATCTTCTTTCGATAGGAGTGGTGATCTCAAGTTTCCCCTTCATCTTTCACTTGAGTTATTATAAGGATCTTCCAGACCATGATGCTTTGCAAAATGATTCCAGTCACTGAACCCCATCTTCTCCTGCCTTGATACTGTGCCCATTTATCTCCATTAGATAATTTAGTTCAGCCTCCTTTATTCCCAAGTGCGCTTGTTGCTATGGCACCCTGATAGTGGAAGACCAAAATGAAATTTCAGGGAGTTACCTGCTTCTAAAAGTGGACCCAAATTGTAGATTTCAAAGGTCATAGTTTTATACATTCAGGACTAATCTAAAAGCAGACCCAAAGCATCAATCATTCTGAACCAGAATCCATTTCCTTGATTTTTTTTTTTTTAAGTGGGAAGATCCCCTGTTGTCTCTTAACTAAAACAGGAGATGTTAGGAAGAACAGACAGGGTAAGTTCTAAGCTCATTGCTCAGAGCTCGGCCAGCTCAGCCACCTGGGCATCCACCCTTCAGAAGGACCGAGTGGCCTGTGGTTTGCATGGCAGATGCCTTAAAATGGAGTCCTTTTTACAAAGCAGACTGTCCATTCTAGAGACATGATAAATTTAAAGCAAAGGAATGTGGCAAAGTGGATTCCACTCATTTGCTTCCAGATTTATACTGAGATGTCTAGACTGCTTCCTCTTTGACTAGAAGGGAAATTATAATTAAACTCCCTTTTTAAAGTTCTGGTAATTGTTCTTCAGTATTAGTTTCCTTGACTACCAAGTTAATGAAGGCAGTTGATGTTACCTTTTCTAAAATTAACATTCAAATTTTACCTAAATGGTTGTGCTAACAAGTACTTCAGAGGTCCGGATATCCTGTAAATGAATCACTAAAGTCTGAAATTAGCTTTGAGCAGAGTGCAAACTGCTTGTCTTTTAAAAGCAAGTTGGGCCCGACTCTGCTTTGTGTCATTAGCTGTGAAATAGTGGTTGCTTTTTACAGATAACCTGGGTCTAAAAGGAATAGGCATGTGCTTTCTCAAGCAGTGGGCATAAAATCTGAGATAGGGTGCTTTTGTTCCAGTCTCCCTGAATTCCTGAATTAATTGTAGTCTCTGTTGTTTTGATGTTGTTGATACATCAAAGACCTTTTGAATGGTCCTTTAGTGGTAGTAACTAACTAGAAAAATACAAAGGTAAAAATATAGTCATTAGATTTTGTTGGGCCTTATATCACCATTGGCTAAATTCTATTTACAAGATATTAATAGGTCTCTGTATTTCGGTTGTAGTGTCATCCTTAGACTTTAATAATATGAATTCCAGCAAATGTAGGTACAGAGCAAATCTCCATATAGAAAAGGAGCTATTAAATCATGTTGCCTTGGGCTGTGCAAAAGAAGAGAATGCTTCTGACCTTCCTGCCCTGGTGACTGTGGTTCCTATTTTAGGGAGAAAGAAAATGAAAGATTTAAAGCTATTCAAGAGCCAAAATGCATCTTTATTCCAGTTTATGCCTCAGTTCATAGTGTCCCAATATGACAGGCCAGCCCAGTGCCACCTGGCAGAGGTATTCTGAGCTGGTTATATGTAGTCCTACTCCTCATTTACTGCTTGGGCAAAGCAGAAACTAAGATACCCCAAGGCCGTTGTAAATATTTCTGCTTAATGCTTGGTTTCTGCCTTATTTAGGTTTAGAAAAATCAGGCCACGTGATTGGATTTTTTCCCTCTTAATTTGCTTTATGTCAGCAAAAACTCCTAATACCTCTTCTGCATTTTACTCTAGAGTAAGCTACTCTAGCTGTTTCTTGAGATTAAGATTTAAGCCTAGAAATTTGATTTTGATTAAATTAGTCTCAGGAAACAATGCCTTCTTTCACTCTTGACCTTGAGTTTGTAGAGAGGAAGGAATCATTTTCAGGAATATTTTAGACTCTTAAAGGGAAAGATATGACAAGTTTTTAAGTGATATTGGCACATCTGTCTCAAAGCTAGTGGTTTGATTTTTGGATTGTGGGCTCTTTTTTTGTTTGTTTGTTTTTGTTTTTTAATGAAATTACTCCTTAAATTCATGAAATTAACTTGCTTTCAGGAGGACAAGAAGTGCTTCATTTGCAACTCCCAAGATCCTTATCATGAGACCCTCAATCCTGACAGCCATCTCATTGAAAATGTGGTCACTACATTTGCTCCAAACCGCTTAAAGATTTGGTGGCAATCTGAAAATGGTATGTGGTTGATGTGGGAAGTTCTGTGCAGTGTGATTGATAACCTAGATGGGGTTTACAGGCACCTTGTGTTTGTAATTCTCATTGGCTCTTCTTCCCTGTAATTAGCGTTTGACAGATTTACTGCCCGGAGCACTAAGTTCCATGGTAAAATCTGGTCCTCCTTCCTGAGGTATGCATTCTCTAGGAAAGCAGTCTTTTGTGCTAGACCGGAGTGTGTATTCCATAATTCTCATTGGGGTGGGTGTGAGGTCTCTTGAGTGCCAGAGACCAGTGAGAGGAGGGTATGAAAGACAGTGCTGACCTCTGGCCCTTCATCCACAGAACATAGCAGCTTTTGTTGTTATTGGCTCCAAAGGAAAGGGCAAAAATCGCAGCCCACCCCCATTTCCGTTTCAGCTATAGAGAATTTCATATTAGTAACAATAGTAGCGTGAATAAGCACTTTAATGGAATTTTGAAGTCTATCAATGTGATAATGACTTCAGGTTCCCAGTAGTTGTGGGTTCCTAGCCCCTTTGTCTTTTTTTTTTTTTTTTGGCCATTTGGACTTTGAGTTAGTAAGTTCATTAGTTCATTGAATATGATATTAGTTACTATTGCCATGAAACTCTGGCCACATAAAACTATATGATGAAATTTTGAGTAAGTTTAGAGTCATTGTGGCTGTTATTAACAGTATTAATAGTAATTAATTAGTTTGGGGTTCTTGTTTTTCTTTCTGAGACAGGGTTTTGCTATTTATCTCAAGCTGACCTGAAACTCGAGATCCGACTGTCTCAGCCTCCTGAGTGCTGGTAGTACAGTGCACCTTCATTAGACTTTCTTTTGATAGTAACTTTCTTTGGTTTGAGCTTAGATTTAGACTGGAGCCAAACCCTCTATCCTTTTTGCTTTGGCTATTTTAAAAAATAGGATTAATGGGGCTGGGAAGGTGGCTCAGTGGTAGAGTGCTTGCTTTGCATGCATGAGGCCCTAGGTTCGATTCCTCAGCACCACATAAGCAGAAAAAGCTGGAAGTGATGCTGTGGCTCAAGTGGTAGAGTGCTAGCCTTGAGCTGAAGAGCTGAGGGACAGTGCCCAGGCCCAGAGTTCAGGCCCCACAACCGACCAAAATAAATAAATAAATAAATAAAATAGGATTAATTAGCTGAATCAAGGGTGTTTTATTTTGAAATGTCCATATATACATGCAGTATACCTTGGTGTAACTAGTCCCTCTGCTCTGCTGGTTTTGAGATAGTGTTTCTACTGTATGCTGGAGCCAGCCTGGACCACAGTGCTACTACGTATGCTTTCTGCACAGCTGGGATGACAGGCTCATGATTCCTTGCCCAGCTTTCTTCTTTTCTTCTTCCTCCTGCTCCTCCTCCTGCTCCTCCTCCTCCTCCTTCTTCTTTTTGTCAGTTGTGGAGCTTGAACTCTGGGCCTGGGCTCTGTCCTTCAGCTCTTCAGCTCAAGGCTAGCACTCTACCACTTGAGCCACAGTGCCACTTCCAGTTTTCTGGTGGTTAATTGGAGATAAGAGTCTCTCATGTGCTTTCCTGCCTAGGCTGGCTTTGAACCATGATCCTCAGATCTCAGCCTCCTGAGTAGCTAGGATTACAAGCTTGAGACACCAGCACCCGACATTTTTTCTTCTTTTTTTTTTGTGAAGTCTCATGAACTTTTTATTTCAAACCCCGATCTCTGTGTCTGTAAGCAGCTTGTATTACAGGTGTGAACCACTCACTCCATTAAATTTGTTGAAGAAAAAAAATGAAAGAAGGCCATAAGAGAAGTGAACCTATAAAGGCTGGCTGAAAAAAAATAACCAAGTCCCTTCATTAAGTGCCCTGCACTGAGAGCCCTCAGATGCCTGCAATCATTTATCCTTGTGTAAAGAGGAATTCCTTTCATGTCTTACCATTGACAATAATTGCAAAGATTTTTCTACAATACCTAGTTTTTTGGAAGGGATGGTTGGGTGTTCATTGGTCATTCTTGGGAATTCTTTGTTTAAGAATTTCATTGAGAGATGAGTTTTCAGAAACATGCACTATTTAGGTCCATTATAGTGGGAAGTTCTGGTTCTTACAGGAGGATTCTGGTTGATAGTTTAGTGTAAGAACAATTCTACAAATCTGAGTCAGAGGACTTTAAAATAGGATAACACTATTCCTGCCTGTCCACATTCTTCAGCAAAACAGACAATTAGATGCCTGGACAATAGGCACCTATTTTAGACCATTAACAGTAAAGTAGTTTTTTCATGCTATAGTTCTTGGCACAAAATTTTTCTTAGTTCTCTCAGGATTTGATCAATTTCTACAGCTTTATTGGAACAAGAGAGTCCAAATGTCAGAAAGGTTTTCACTCAGAGGGCTTAAAATCTGTTATTCCAACAGATATTAGAGAACATTTAGACAGAATGTGGCTTTTACAATGTCAGACTCTCATTTGCCTGATAGTTCACAATGGAAGACTTCTCTGTGAAGGTGACTCGGTATTTTGCACAGGTTTTCTTATACACATTGATACCAAGTCATGAATATGCAGGCTCAGAGACAACTTGGAATGTATGGCTACTTTCTACTTATTCACAGTTCTTATACACCATAGAATGATATTTCTTTTTTCTTTTTCTTTTTTTTTTTACCCCAGGCTATAGAATAATCCTCTTCCTCCTCAGCCTGGAAAATGCTGGAATTACTGATATAAATCATCATACCTTGGTTATGGAATAGTCCTGTTTCTTTTCCTTGGATTTTTCTTTCTCAAAATAAAAAAGAGATGAGCTAGGTGCCAGTGGCTCACCCCTATAATCCTAGCTAACTCAGGAGGCTAAGATCTGAGGATCAAGGTTCAAAGCCAGCCTAGACAGGAAAGTCCAAGAGACTTTTATCTCTAGTTAACCATCAGAAAATGAAATGGCTTTGTGGTTCAAAGTGGTAGAAGAACTCTAGCCTTCAGTGAAAAAGCTTTGGGGCAGCACCTCGGCCCTGAGTTCAAGCCCCATAACTGACCAATAAATAAAAACTGAAAAAAGAAAAACCAAACCCCACAGTGCTTTATCAGTCTGTAAATCTAAATGGAATGTGCTTTGGGGGACACTTGTGACTGTAAATATTCTTATGTTACAGAAATGGTACTAGTCTTGCTTTGTACTTCATATTATTTCATTTTCTCTTTTTGAACAAATATTACAAATATTTAGACCGTTAGCAGTAAAATAGCTTTTTCATGCTATAGTTCTTGGCACAGAATTTTTCTTAGTTCCCTCAGGATTTGATCAATTTCTACAGCTTTATTGGAACAAGAGAGTCCAAATGTCCGAAAGGTTTTCAATCAGAGGGCTTAAAATCTCTGTCACTCCAACAGAGGAAGAAGAGCTTGGAAGAGGCCAGACGTACAGATGTTTAGCTAACATTCTACTAAAAAATATCCAGAGTAGTTTTGTAATGTGTTTTTTTTTTTACAATAAGTTAGATAAGGTTCATTAGTATGATTATAGTGTTTTTCTTTAACATTCCAACTAACTCATATCCGTTCCAGTGACCACTTTCCCGCCCACCCCCCTTGCCCCCAGTCAACTTGGTAGGTTGCCAGCAGGAGAGATTATTTCAAAAGGTCCTGCTGGTTTCCTGAAAATACACCAGGCTGTGACATGATTCACTCTGACACATTCCTGTCCTCCAGCATTTAAGACTTCTTTTGCTCTGGAAGATGGGCCTCTAAAATGCTTCTAACTTCTGAAAGGTGGAAAAGTCTATTTGAACCAGTGGGTAGGAAGGTGGGGGGGGTGCTGCCCACCCTGGAATTCCAGTGGCCTCCTTAGCATGTCAAGTGGGACCAACTGACCCTCAGGGCACAGAGCAAAAGTTTGCTTGTTTGTTCAGGCTTTCTTCCTGAAAGAGAAGATGTTAGTGTTTGTTCTGGGCCAGTTGATTTATTTGACTGGTTCTTTGTCTCTTTGGCGTTGTTTTTCAGTTGTGGAAGTCACATTCAAAGGGTGTCTCACTGGGGATAGGTTTTTCTTAAGTTGGTATGGAACTAACATGTGGTGGACGTGTGCTTCTTTACTTATGTAGAGAAAAGAGAGCATTTGTGTTTGTCCTGGAAGAGCGTCCAGTGCCTGTGTCTCAGCCTGTAAGCTGGCCTCCTACTGTGTACAGGAAGAGCCCCTCTTCTCTTTTCACAATTTTGGCTTAAGAGAGCTGGTGGGACAACATTTCTCTTGTTTCTAAGCAAGAGATATCTGACTTGACCTGTGGAGGGGCTTTGGGCTAGATCTAGTGTCATTTCAGGGAGTGAAACTCGAGGGATTGTGAAAAACAGTGGAATCAGTACAGCTTGGCCTCATCGCCCGAATAAAGGCAAAGGATCCGCGTTAACAGCTTTAGACTGCAAGGAGGATTTCTATGAAGCGTTTGAAGATGATTTAAGGAAATAGCTGCGGCTGACCTCAAATGTTCCCTTCACCTTACCATTCCCTTCTTTATTGTTATTATTGTTTTTTTCATCTATAGGTGTGGAAAATGTAACTATCCAACTGGATTTGGAAGCAGAATTCCATTTCACTCATCTCATAATGACTTTCAAGGTAAGAAGTCCTATACTTTCCCACAAATGACCTGTGAGAGCACAGTTTATAATTTCCCCTGTTCAGAAAGAATGTGGTCTAAATGGGAACTTCAAGCAAGACCCTTGTTGCTATAAATTGTGATAATTGAGAAGCTTTGAAAACATGGGCCTGAATAACTACCTTTACCAAATACCTTATCTTCATGGCAATAAGTAGACAGTCTCTTTGCTAAGCTAACTGTCTCTATGCTATTCAACTGTAAACTTTGTACTTAGAGAGCTCTTAATTTCCCCATGGGAGAGGCAGCATTGACTCCATCCCAAACCACAATAAAACATCTGGAGAGAATATATCTCTGATCCCATGTGTTTATGTTTTAATACTGAGTTTGGAAACTGAAAAAGAAATTTAGTTTTAAAAGTTTTGCAGAATTTGTGGGGACAGTTTCTGAAAAAATGTGTGAGCCTTGTTAAATGCAGATTTTTCTCACCATTTTCTTTTTTCTCACCATTTTTCTTTTTGAGATGTAAAATGACTCCAGGAGTAGGGAATGTCTCTGTACAAAGTCCCTTTGTTTCTTCTCAAGCAGCTGCCTGAAAATGACAGACTTCACAAGGCTTAAAGTACATATTGGCCTGCATAAAACCCATAATTTGCTTATTGCTTCCAAGATGAAAATCACTTTTGGATAGTTTTCAGTGGGTGTTTGGGGCCTTATCTTCACTCGCTCAGGTTAGGAAAAGATACCAGGGATAGTTTACCCTGTGGGCCAGGGACCTTCAAAGTTCCACCTGGGTCTGCTATAAAAGCCTGGAAGGGCCAAGAAGCAAGGGTGGGCGTGGGAGTCAGAATGAGACTAGGAGAGACATTGAACCATGCAATTCCCAAGCCTGTCCTTGTCACCCCTCAACCCCAACCAACCCATAGTGACTGCTGGGGTGACAGGTTTACACTGACACCTGATACTGAGTGCTGAAGATGGCTTGACTACATAACTCCAAGACTCTTAGTCACTGACCTGGTGGTTGAAACTCAGCCCTAATACACTATGCTTCCCTCAGTGTCAGGTAACACCTATAACATTAAAAGTCATCTTTTTATTCATGTGTAGGGGCCTTTTACTTTGAGGAGGGCATCTTATCTGCTCACAGACATGCCTGGTTTAAAATTCATTTATATTCAAAAGTGCTCTGGGCACAGATTCTGTAGGTGAATACTTATTCAAGAGAATGCAATGGAATTCTGTACATGGGTGCAAGAGGTCAGGCCGAGGAGGTGGTGGCTGAAGTGAGCTGTGTGCTGTGGGTACAAGTTGCCAGACCAGGAGAGAACAACCCTTGGGCTGTAGCTCCAGTGAGCAGAGCAGCATGTGTGGGGCTGGGCATTCTTGGGTGTGAGCCCTGTTTTACCCCATCCTGGCAAGGATGTTCAGAGCTTTTTCTTCCTCGTCAGGAAGAAAACCAAGACCTCTGTTATAGCATCATTCAAAAACCACAGTATGCTGCTACATGCTGCTCTGATAGTGTGTAGTTGATAACATAATCTTTTTTTATGAGTCCAAAACCACCTAGATCGGTGATACCATTAGCAGTAGTGAAGATGGGAAGGGAGAAGGCAGGGGAGGGAGCTGGAGGAACATGCTTATTTTCACCCAGGCTGGCCATGTTGATGGCTAAATGTTAAGTGCAGTGGGTTTTGGTAGACTAGTAAAACCCATTCTTCAGATACCCAGTATGTAGCCAGCTGTTTCCAGACTTTTGATTATTATGCATTCAGAAGCAACTGTGTAGCTACTTGAGGCCCAAGAAGGTTGATGGCTAAGCAGGGAGCCGGAAAGCTTTCTGTCCTGTAGGTGAAGTGTGTTTTGTTCTGGTTTCCCACAGCTTCTTAACTCTACAGGAAACTGGGTAATTTGACATTGGCCCTTTGGGATTTAGAAGTTTCCAGAAAGGTGGGAGAAGGAAGTGCTACAAGGACTGGCTTCTGGGCTTCTCTCTGTCCCTTTTACACAGAGATGTGAGACAAGGCGTTCCCTTCTAACCCTCCCGGGTCTCCCCAGCTGGGAGCCCAGCCGGGAGCCCAGCCGTGTGGGAAAAGCACATGCCTGCTTGGCATGTGTTAAACACTGGAGTTCCTCTCCCTTGATTTAAAATCCTTAATCCAATGCTCTGTATTATTTTCTTCTGTTCCTGGAAAGGTGAAAAAGTAACTTGAATGTGTGTCAAAATGTGAATCTTTCACTTTCTTGCCTTTGAATCCTTTTTCAGAGAAAAATGCTTTCAGGCCTCTTAATTTCCTCAGATCAACAGTTTTTTATGTCTGTATTTGTATCTCACTGGGCTAAATGCAGTGTACGGACTGTAGGTGGGCCACTGGCTGCTACCATGTGGCAGTCATGCATCTCTTGAATGACTAAATGAAGACATGAAGGAGTGAATACTCAGACTCAGTCATATGATGGGCATGGTGGCTAACTATACTAGAATTTACTTTTAAGGCCTGTTTATAATCAGCTTCTAAAGAGAAACAGCTCACTAATCTACCAGGGTGGGAAAAGTGCAGAATTTAGAGACCAGACACTTTCCTTGCAAGAATAGGCTCCACGAGCAGCCTGAAGTGTCTGAAATCAGGCCACAGTGAGAAATGCCAACTGTGTGCAGGCAGGGCTTGTGGCACACAGCGAGTGACAATTTCATCTGCAATTTTGAAAAAGATTAGCAATCAAGTCTCTTGTTCCCCACCTTGTAGACATTCCGTCCAGCTGCTATGCTGATAGAGCGGTCATCTGACTTTGGGAAGACCTGGGGTGTATACAGATACTTCGCCTATGATTGTGAGAGCTCCTTCCCAGGCATTTCCACTGGCCCCATGAAGAAAGTGGATGACATAATCTGTGACTCCCGATACTCTGACATAGAACCCTCAACAGAAGGAGAGGTCTGTTTGCTTCTTGATTTTACATTCTACTTGCTAGTCTGTACTTTTTGATCACAGACAAAATACCAATTCCTCTTCTATCTATTTTTAGGTGATATTTCGTGCTTTAGATCCAGCTTTCAAAATAGAAGATCCTTATAGCCCAAGGATACAGAGTAAGCATGTTTTCAAATAAAAGCATGGATGGGAAAGAACACTCAGAGAATAAGCATTGCCCTACAGCATACCACCCAGAATCTAGATATTCAGTACTAAATCCACCTACATTTTCTTCCTCTTCAGTACCCTACCAGAAGCTTCTAAAACTATGGGTAGTCCATCTTCACAGTAATCAATCTGTCAAGAGTGCTCAAGCAATTATGTTAATTATGCTACCTTATTTACTTGGTTGCTCAGTACATTAGAATGTAGATTAAGCTATTGTAACAAAAGTGTCTCCAGAATACAATTGCTCAAGTAAAATAGAAAGTTACTTCCTCTTATCTACATTATTCAGAGGGATTTTCAGACAATCAAATGTAACTCAACTGCCATAATTAGACTCACCAGATAAAATACAGGATGGTATCTAGTTAAATTTGAGTTGCAGATAAATAATACATTCTTTAAAAAATGTAATGGTATCCCATACAGTACTTTTGTCTAGTCAAGGTGTGTGTCCATGCAATGTTTGTGGTTAGTATAACGAAGTTCCAGGTAACGGTTGGATCATGCTCTTACTAAAAAATGAAATTCAAAGGTACCAATTCAAATGTAACTGATCATAGGTTACTTTCATTTTTTTGGGGGGGGGTCCACTTGTGGGGCCTGAACTCTGGGCCTGGGCGCTGTTCCTCAGCTCTTCAGCTCAAGGCTAGCGCTCTACCACTTGAGCCACAGCGCCACTTCCGGCTTTTTTCTTTTTGCTTATGTGGTGCTGAGGAATTGAACCCAGGGCCTCAAGCATGCAAGGCAAGCGCTCTACCACTGAGCCACCTTCCCAGCCCTCACTTACTTTCATTTTCTAAATGTGATAATCCTAGCTATAAGGCCACCCAAGTAGAGTTAGATCACCATCAACATGTCCTCATCCTAGTCTGTGAAGTGCAAGCAAATTTCCTATAAAGAAACCTGGAAGTTGTCCATGATCTGGACAACTTCCTGGACAACTTCCTACTAGCTACAGTTCACATCTTCCTAGCCATAGTTACATGACTGTTTTACAGGAGACACCGGGTAGCATCTCTGGCTTAGAGGCCATGTGTTCTGCTAAAAGTTTTGGCAAGGCCAGGTGCTGGTGGCTTATGACTGTAATCTACTCAGGAGGCTGAGCTCTGAGGATCATTGTTCGTGGTTCAAAGCCAGTATGGACAAAAAAGTCCATGAAACATTTCTCTGTAAACCAGCAAAAAGCTAAAAATGGAGGTGTGGTTCAAGTGGTAGGTAGAGTACTCTAGCCTTGAACAAAATAAGCTAAGAAAGAGCATGAGGCCCTGAGTTCAAGCCTCAGTACGGACAACAAAACAAACAAAAACCCCATCTTGGCAAAGGGCTTTTATTGAAGGAATATGGAAAGAAAGAATACTGAGGGGAATTCAGAAATGTCAGCCAGGCTCAGTGTATGGTGAAGATTGTATTTCCGTTTAATAGAAGAAAAACAGAGGCTCAGAGAGTCGGATTCCATCCATGAAGCATTGTGGCTATTCAGTGGCAGGCAGAGCTTAAAGGCATGTGTTAGGATTTGCAGTTCAGAGCTCTTTTCCAGCGTTCACCAAATATGCCATTACAGGATTACATTTTCATCTTCTTGGGAAGCAGAATGTGCAGTAATTAAACTAATGGGCTTTCGAGACAGACCTGGATTTAATCCCAGTTCTATCACATTGCAGCTATGTGACCTGGGACAAGTAATTTACTTAAAACTTTTTTTTTTTTTTAGGCTGGAAGGGGGTGGAGCGGGGCGAGGAGCTCTTCTTTTCCTCTTTAAATGGAGATCATATTAACCTTAGGGTAGTTGTGTAAGAAAATGAGTTGTTATACGTAAATGACCAACCCAAATGCCCAATGTAGAAGTAATTAAAGCTGCTGCTGTTGATATTGTTGCTGTCAGCCATAGTTTAGGAATTGATGGAGCTGGTCTTGGATGTCGGAGGACAGGCAAGCTGGCCTTGCTGTGAAGGTGCTATCCGTTGAGCAGAAGCAGGGCTAAGTCTTGCTGATCTTCCCCAGCTGTGCTTGGTCCTATTTTTAATCATGGAATTTCCAAGCTTAGAGGATAGAAGAATAGAAGACAGTGGTCCGGGGAATATTGTCAGCAAAGTGCTGCTTCCCTTTTTAAATTAATTTTACATGTGGCCCAGACTGTCTCTGGTCGGTGATTTCGCTATTCTGTTGCAAAACAAACGTTTAATGGTATGTCCAGCACCACGCCAATATCTGAGGGAGTAATGAGGCCATCCTTCCCTGTTTCAAAATCTGGTTGTGAAAATATCCCTAGGGGCTCTAGGATAAACAACAGCTCCCGAGTCCCTGAAGGATTCATCTGCTTCTTCCTAGGTGAGGTATGTGGGATTATAGGAATGGTGTTACTGGTATTTTTTTTTTCCTTTTGTGTTGGTCCTGGAGCTTGAACTTAGGGCCTGGGCACTGTCCCTGAGCTTTTGCTCAAGGCTCGTGCTCTACCACTTGTATGATAGCTCTACATCTGGCTTGCTTGGTAGCTTATTGGAAATAAGTCTCATGGACTTTCCTGCCTGGGCTGACTTAGAACCAGAATCTCAGCTTCCTGAAAAGCTAGGATTGTAAGTGTGAGCCACCAGTGCCCAGCTTGGTGTTGCTTTTTATCATTCTAATTCTCGTGCTTTTCTTGTTGAGTGCCCAGAAGCATGTTTTTCATTTACCTTGTATCAGAGGAACAAGATTTCCTTAGTTGTCCCTGTCTCCTTTGAGGCTCACTTTAAAAGCAGTTTTCCTCGAGAAGACCTGTGAGTGATGCCTGGATGTTGCTGTATATGGTCAGAGCACATGGCAGCCTGTTTGCCCTTCTAAAGGCTTCCACAGAGATCAATTTGGGAGTTTCTAAATATACCAGCTGCCCTTCGTATGTGTCTTTGGCCTCTCATCAATAGGTGCTTGTGCTCACTTTGCCAGAACATTTTGTACACGTGGCATTCATAATCATCGTTCAGTTCAGAAGACTCACATTTTTGATTTTACAAAGAGCTTAAGTTTAATGCATACACGTTCTCTTTTCACTTCTAGGCCTTTCTGTGATCTTCATTGTAAGCAAGGCATACATTATATACATTTAAAGTTAGTATTTAGGGTTTGACAGTGTCTGCTGTACTAGGTTCTTTTGTCTTGAATTATAAGCTGAAAATATGCACAAATGAGAGCAAAGCTTACAAGAACTTTCAGGCTGCACAGCCCAGTAAGAGGGCAGGTGGACCAGCCAGGTCTCCTGTGAGCCACTTCAGCAAGAACAGTTAGTAGAAACATTAGTATGGTAGGCTGACAAGCTCTTGGTTCACCCAGTGACTACAGAGGGTAGTTGATAGCCCAGCATGGGGAATCAACATATGTCTACAGATCTAGAATGAAAGAGGAAAGATAAAAGAACCTGACATATGGGCTGGGAAGGTGGCTCAGTGGTAGAGTGCTTGCCTTGCATGCATGAGGCCCTGGGTTCCATTCCTCAGCACCACATAAGCAGAAAAAGCTTGAAGTAGCGCTGTGGCTCAAGTGGTAGAGCGCTAGCCTTGAGCTGAAGAGCTGAGGGACAGTGCCCAGGCCCAGAGTTCAGGCCTCATGATAATACTAAGCCCCTTATCCTTAGGATACCATAGTGATAAACATGGAATTTTGTTGTAAATCTAGAACAAAATCAGCTGTGGACTAAAATGTTGCTTAAAGATGTGGTCAAGGGCTGGGAGCATAGTGCAAGTGGCAGAGTATTGTCAGCAAGCAGGAAGCTCTGGGTTCAACCCTTAATACTGCAACAAAATGAAGAACTTGGTCAGTCAGTCACCAGTGTGATTCAGTCGCCTGTAATCCTAGCTGATATCTGCGGATTGTGGTTGGATTCCAGCCCAGACAGAAAAGTCTGTGGGATTCTTATTTCTAATTAACTAGCAAAAAGCCTGAAGTAGAGCTATAAGCTCAAGTGGGAGAGTACCAGCGTTAAGTAGAAATGCCAAGCTAGACCCCAAGTTCTGAGTTCAAGCTCTAGTACTGGGACACACACACACACACACACACACACACACACACACACACACACACACACA